AGACTCCGTCTCAAAAAAAAAAAAAAAAACAAAAAACTTACTGGTACCAAGAGCCATTGTAGGTGCTTTATCTTATTTGAGCTTTACAATATCCAGAAGACACAGTATTACTAATATCACATTTTGAAGGTACAGAGGCTGAGGCACAGAGAGCTTAAATAATTGACACAAAGCCACACAGCAAATGGGCCTTACTTGGAATATGAATCAATGAAGCAGAATGGTCCTGGAGCCCATGGTCTTAAGCAGTACATTATTCTACTTCTCCAGTATATTAGATTGATACAAAAGTAATTGCGGTTTTACAAAGTAATGGCAAAAATGCAATTACTTTTGCATCAACCTAACAGAAAAAAAGATACTCCATATGCTGAGAGTTATGTTTTTCTCTTGTCAAAATTAGTTTTGCAAGATAGGTAAACTAAGTCTAAAATAGTGGTCTTTTATGGACCCAAGATATGAAATCTTTTACTTATCACTCTATCCTTTTCATTTTTAAGTTCTGCTAAGAAAGGAAGACAAATCTGATTAAGACAACATATTTACTATCATAACTTACAACTGAATAATGTAATAAATTACTGTTCCTATTGCCCAACATACAAGTGAATGCATACAAGAGATTCATCACCAACCATAAGGGACATTTCTCCCTAAAGGTCAAGATTTTTCTGCATACCCAAAAACCTACCTAAAGAAAGGGTAAACTCTGAAAAAAAAAAATATGTTTCTCTGATTATTGGCAACATCATTTTCCAGCTCAGTCAGCCTGGAAGCTTCAGTTATTTTTTTAGAGAAATGATGGTACAGTGGTAAACTGCAATGACTCTGGCGCTTGACTAAATGGCCCCAAATGTCAGGCATGGTATGTTTTACTTTTGAGACCTGGGACCATTTGCTTAAATGATGTCTTTCTCAGTTTCCTCTTGCACAAATGGGGATGACATTAGTCATTAACATTTAAAACAACCCTGGCACTCAGTAAATCCTGCAGAAGCATTAAGTATAACTATTACTCCCTGAACCTATTTACTTCCAAATAAATCTCACATGCTCCAAACCCTGCCAGTCCCTCCCCACTGCTATGACTTTAGGTCTTGCCCTCATCCCTTCATTCTTATCCCTCTATAAATGCCTAAAAATTGATCTTTCTGCAACAAGTCTTCCAACTGCATCCACTTTGAAGGTATTACCAGAATAACATTTAAAAATACCTTTCTGTTCACAGGATTAGCCCTCATGAAATATTAGCTCTCCATTTTTAATTACATACCAATTAAATTCAAATTTCTTGAAGGGTTATCAGTATTTCCCACAACCTGGTACCAGCTTTATTTTCCAGTTATCTGTTTTTAGTCCAACATAAGAAACATATTCTTGTGCCAAACTAATTAATTTGTCATTCATTGAGTGTGAAGTATGCCTCTTTACTTCTAAATGTTAGTATGCCATTTTCTTGACTATTCTGTTAACATTCTCCATCTGCATCAAGATCTAGCCCAAATTCAATTTCCATAAAACCTTGGACCGATATGGTTCAGAATTATATCTCCTTTCTGAGGTCTCCTATAACGGCTTCTTTTTTCACACATCTGTGCATTTTATTGTTTCTCAAATTATTTAAAATGGCTTTTAAATTGTATTAGTTTATACCATTCTCATGATGTAACTTACCACAGCCTCTGCTTTATTTATATGAGGGAATAGCTTATTTCCTCAAACTAACGACAAAGTTTCCTTGAGAGTTCTTTTTGTCTTTCTCTCCCACTTGCTCTAGTCCTTACTAACACAGTACCTCTCAATTTAGGAGCATGAACTATTAATTGAACCAAATGAAATAAAATTACTAAACAAAATCACTAGCTTTGTCTTCCAGAGGTCAAATCTAGAAATGGAGACTTCATCCCTTCATTCTCACCCCTCTGTAAATCCTTCAATCTCAAAACCAAAAGTAGTGTGGGAGCATGAACAATTTGATCCATTCAATTTTAGAGCAATAGTCTTTTAAATACCAGGAATTCCGAAAACGTCCCCAGATAAAATGTCGCTGATGGTTTGTTTCAAGAAATAAAGTGTACAGGGTTAGGACCAATGGGTGGCTAATGTGAAAGAATTTGAAGATCATCAGAGTCCAAAAGGGAAAGCATGAATGTGGCCTGTGTGATGTAAAGGATAGTACTATGAACATTACACATCTGAAGATAATAAGGAGGGAAGAGAATGGTAAGTCAAGCTCAACCTTTCATTCCAATCTTTTCTTCACTGCAGAAAGCAACTAAAAAGGACCACAAGAAAAGGGTGTGGCCAGCCACTGCCAATTCTGAAAAGTATAATAGAAGAGTAAGATATTATCTCTGCTATTAGGGGAGGAGTTGTTATATATTTTTAAGTTTTCTCTAATCAAATAGCATTTTGTTCAAGGCAACTCATTTTGGGTTGCTGATTGGTTCTACTGACACTTACTATAAGGCAATTGTTATTTTTTTAATTTGAAATTCAGTCATAAAATACTCATTTACTCTGATGAGCAGTGTTGGCCAGAGCACTTTATCAGGGCAGAGGCATATTTTTCTACAACAATTTCCAGCCCGACAGCCAAACAAGAACGCAATTCCACTCACAATAGCCCCCAAAAGAATAAAATACCTAGGAATACAGCTAACCAAGGAGGAGAAAGTTCTCTACAAAACACTGGTCAAAGAAGTTAGATATGACACAAATAGAAAAACATCCCATGCTCATGGACAGGATGAATCAAGGTTGATAAAATGGCCATGATGTCCAAAGCAATTTACAGATTCAATACTATTGCCATCAAACTACAAATGATATCGTTCATATAATTAGGAAAAACTATTTTATAATTCATAAACCAAAAAAGAGCCAAAATAGACAAGGCAATCCTAAGCATAAAGAAAAAACTAGAGGTATCACATTACCTGTCCTCAAACTATACCACAGGGTTGTAGTAACCAAAACAGCAAGGCACTGAAACAAAAAGAAATACACAGAACAATGGAACAGAATAAAGACCCCAGAGATAATGCTGCACACATACAACCTTCTGATCTTTAACAACGCTGACAAAAAATACCAAAGACTGTAAATGGAAATGGGTTATTTTATGACTGCCAAATTAATCGAGCATGACTGCAATTGAGTAGAACAATAAAAATATTACTTACTGTATGTTGCACTTGGCAATTTCAAAATGATTTGCAAACATTCATCCTCAAAATGCTTCTACAAAAATGCATCTGTGGAGGAAGAAAAACATCCAAAAGAGTAAACAATTTGTCAAGGTCACAGAAAAACTAACACAGACCAACACACACTTAAACACAATACACTGTAACATACTAAAATAGGTTTTGCAAAATGTAGACTATACATTTAGCAAAGTATAATGGGCTGATGAACAGAAATATTCCCAACTACATGCAAATATTCCAAAACATCAATCAAGGAGGACACTTTGAAGAAAGAGGTAAGAGAAGTCTGCATACTAGCTTCATAATTATATGCAAGAAACACAGTTGGCAGAACGGCATAAAAGTAATTCAAAAATATGAGATGTTCAAATATACTTGGAGAGTTGAGGTGATTATTCAAATATTTCAAGTTTTTAAAAGGTACTATTATCTGATATATCAGGATCACTGAGTTAGAAAAGAATTTTGCTTGATTTATCCAGAGAGTTGCACCAATTCACTTTGTAATTGCATTTCAATTCTAATTGAAAACCATGCACAGAGAAAAATGCAGGCATGCGACCTGCATACCTCACAAAAATACACAAACAGATCCATTCTCTGTGTTTCAGAATATCAATGTGATTATAAGGAGAAAGTGATTTAATCAAGCATTATTAATTAATTTGTTAGTTTTAGAGTAGGGTTTTGAAAGAGCATATTGATTTTGAATATCAAAATATTTCAACTTAAATGGGTTTTATGCTACTGAGTATATACAGTGTTATAAAAGAACTATTCAAAGAAATATAACAAAATACAACCTAATGAAAATTATCAGCCTGGCCAACATGGTGAAACCCTGTCTTTAATAAAAATATAAAAATTAGCCAGGCATGGTAGTGAGTGCCTGTAGCCCCAGCTACTCAGGAGGCTAAGGCAGGACCATCGCTTGAACCCAGGAGGCGGAAGTTGCAGTGAGCTGAGATCATGCCACTGCACCCCAGTCTGGGAGACAGAATGAGACTCCATCTCAAAAAAAAATATATATATTATATATAATATATATATAATATATATATAAAATATATATATTATATATAATATATATATTTTATATAATATATATATAAAATATATATAAAATATATATATTATATATAATATATATATAAAATATATATATCCCTTTAAAAACACAGTGTGTTCTTTCAGACAGCTCAGACACACTATAAACAATACAAATAAAAATTCCCTTAAGTACCAAACATCTTTAAAGGAATATTAGTTCTCAGCAACAAACAGAATTTCTGCTCAGAGAGATCTGTGTCTTGATGGTACTAAGCAGAACTAGCAGTTTAATAATACAAAAGTTGTGCTTTTGTGTTCACCAAAACCAACTGTAACCAAATCAACAATTCAACATTCAGAATAAGCATTTTGAATAGAAAATCTAATTTATCTTCCTCTAGTATGTTAAAGACACTGGGAATACACAGGTCTCTACCTGGCCCATGAATAAATGATTTTACTAATGTTTTACACAGAACCTCTCAAACAGAGAAAACTGGATATAATTAGCAAGTTTATAGTTAAATGGAAAAAGTAAATCAAGAAATGTCCAAGAAATTTTGTATTTTCTAAGTTTAAAACTTAAAACATAATAAAAGATATATATATTCTTCTTCACATATAATTCAGTAGAATTATAAAGTTATAACAATTAGCAAATCTCTATATTTCTTCATACTTTAGCATATTCATCCTCATAGACAAGAATACTGAGATGAACTCTAATTACATGACTTGCTCAATCTGACACAGCCAATAGGAGGTAAGACTGGGCTCAAAACCAGCTTTTCTGACCTGGGTTTCATCTTACTACAATATCTGCTAATTTCTAGGTTGCATCCAGAGCAGAGATTGAAAACTGGGGGTGTGAAAACCAAATCTGGCTTACTGATACATTTCGTTTGTCCCACAGCATGGTTTTTAAAATATTACACAATATTCAAAAGCAGAAGATTTCTCATAAAAAATCCTCATATCTAGCTTTTTTGAAAAAGTGAAAATTTTTATAAGGCTGGACTCAGGCATGGAACAGAAAAACGGTTGCCCCTCTTAGATAGCACGAGTTTTCATATTCATCTACTTCCTACTTTTACAAACCATCTTTCACTCTGACAATTTTAAATACTGGAGTGTTTTGCACAAGATCCAAGCTCTCCTTTATTAAGAATTGCCATCTTTTTTTTTTTTTTTTTTTTGCTGTGAAACTGGAGGAAGGATTTACCTTTATTAGTCTCAAAAAACATATTTTGTCAATTGAAATAACCACTTAAAATACTACATTTCACTGGATTCCTATAACCAGGTGCTATTGATTATCTTATTTTAATCTATATACATGTTTTAAAATTTTGTGGGTTTGAATATATTTTATTTTTAAATATATATTTGATAATTGTCATAGCTAAGGGAAAATATTACAAACATAATTGATTAGTACATCATCAAGTGAAAGAATGAGTGACCTCAAAGAATAATTTTACATTTACCATGGACACGTATGTCTTCCAGTGAGTTATTTCCTGGATTGATAGGTATACTAGGTAATAAAATAATTATGATACATTAAACACTTCAATTTAGTTGGATAAACTGGATTAACAGAACACTAACAGCTAAAGGTAAAGCTATGCAATCCACAAATTTTGGTTAAATAATGGCATATTGCAATTGTCTTTAAATATCAATACATTTTGCAGAATACACGAAAATATGGACTGGCATTCTGAGGAACTCAGGTAGTAAGAGCCACCTAAATCTCAAACTGTTCACATATCGTAAAAAATACATACACTTAACCAAAACAAATTAAAACACACAAATCCAAATCCTTCAGCACAACTGGAAGCTGGAGAATAATAAACATGTCAGATTATACGTAAATAGAAAATCAGACACCAATTTCTAATGCAGCTATCTTTAAGCTGCCCCTATATACAGAGATATATGGGGTCCAGAAAAACTGTGAGAAAGAAGGTAAAAGAAACCAGAATTCCTAAGAGTGACATGAAAATCATTCACAGAAAATCCACTCAAACTATGAAAATTCTGAAAACCTATTCTGGCATATTAGAATATGGACACAGAGAAAAGACAAAAATGCATAAATTTTGAGGTGACATTTTTTTTGGAAGAAAAGCAAGTAAGGCATTTATAAAATGATGGGGATATGTCAAAAGGACACAAGTCCTAGCTTTAAGAGGCTGTTACTGGTTTAATCAGAGACAATTGGGAAATAAAAATAAATAATTATTGTAATGAATTAAAATTTATTACAGAAAATATAATAAAGTATGAAATTAAGAAGGGAAAACTCTTTCTTTGAGTATAATGTCACCTAAAAAGTACAGACGGACTGATGGAGTTAGAAAACCACCATAATATTTTAGGTACCTGATTCAGTAAAGAAAACATTAATGGATCAACACCAGTGCATAAAAGTGTGATGATAAACAGGTATTTCCAGTCGAAAAGTATCTTCCCACAAATTACTTATTAATTACAATGGAGAAAATAGTAACTAGTTGTGGAAAAACTTGGCAGAGACCACCTTAACAAATTGATCAAAGACAATATCATCAATTATCAGACAAATACGACATGTCTCCAAGTATGATGCACTTGAGAAGAACACAACATCACTTTTGTGGTATGCCTGTCAAAAATGCAAAACCAGAATTAACCGTTAGGAAACATTCAGTAATGCCAAATTGAGAATACTGCACTCCATATCTGATCTGAACTCTTCAAATGTCCAAGTAATTAGACTAAGGAGATGTTCCAGATAAAAGGACTTTTAAAGATAAAACCAAAAAATACACCTGGAATCCTAGATACATACTGTGAGTTACACAATACAACTAATATTGTGTCAATATTGAATATCTTTAAAAATTATACTCTTGTTATAGAAGACAATGTCCTTATTCTTAGGAAATGTACCCTTAAACACTTCAGCTAAGGAAGCATGATGTCTGTAACTTATTCTCAAATGATTCAGAAAAAAATGTGGTGTGTGTGTGGTGTGTGCATGCACACACAGGAATATAGAGAGAAAACACACACAGAAATGAAGCAAACGAGGCAAAATTGTAAACAACTGTTGAATCTGGACAAAAGGTATTCTTAAATACAATTCTTGTACATTTTCTGTACATTTGAAACTATGTCAAAATTTAAAATTATGCAACAAGGTAAAAATAAATAAAAATAAAATGTTTCATTTTAATCTAGACATTTATATTTGGGAATCACAGAATAATAGTCAAACATACATCAAGGAAGTCTTTTTCAGAAGGGAACAACAGACACTGGGCCCTACTTGAGGCTGAAAGGTGGGAAGAAGGTGAGGATCAAAAAACTACCTATTGGGTACTATGCTCATTACCTGGTGACAAAATAATCTGTACACAAAACTCCTGTGACACAAAATTAGCCTATATAACAAATCTGCACATATACACTTGAGGCTAAAATAAGAGTTAAAAATAAATAACTAATAACTAAATAAATAAATCAGAAAAACATTTAAAGGTTAAAAAAATTCAAAATCATCAATGTTTTTGTATAATTAGTATAGTAAGAAATCCAGAGTGATAGCTTACATACTATATATCATATAGTGTTTATGTATATACAATTTACATCTTTATATATATTTAATATTTATATATTTAGATTAAATGAAAGATATTTATTCATAACTTACATACTGATATATACCCATTAAATATATAAAATACAGGAGAATGAGAAAAAATGTAAAATCTACTTTAGAGTTTTAAAATAAACCACACAAACATTATATTATAGTCAGCAAATTAAGCAATATAAAGTTAAATAATGAAATGATAATCAAAAAATAAGTGAAAGTAGTCAGGACTTAAAGAAAAAAGACAAAAGGTTATCAGTCTTTAAAGATTACCAATGTAAGTGGTTTTTCCTTATACAATTAGTTTTCTAAATCAAAAGTTGCAAGTTTTTTTAATTTAGGAAAAAAATATTAAAAT